TAATTTCAGATTACTTGGAGTGGTCAACGGAAGTATAGTCATGTTATGTTGTTATAACTTTACAAGTACCTACCTAGTCTAAAATAACAAAATGGCTCGATCGCCTAACTTTAATGTGGCTGGTAATGGTGGCTGGTACCTAAAATCTATAATCGCTTAATATTCACGTTACAATATTAATTAATTAAATTTAAAATTAATTAAATTAATTAGCAATTAGCGAACAATTAGCCAACCTCTTGAATTAGTCTTACAAGAGTTACTAAATGTAATAATATTTGAATAAGCCAAGGGACAAGGGACGTATTATATATTATGTAAAGTAAATACTTTACATAATATATAATACGTCCTCCTGCCCTGAACCTTAAAACATTTGAAAATAAGTAGATACGTTTCACAAAGCTATAATAAGTATACTAGAAGTTTCTGACTGCGACTACAAGGAGCTTGCCAAAAGAAGTTAGATAGTCTTTAATGTAATGGATGGATGATAATGGATGTATAAACTTTACAATGATGTTGATGTATAACTTTTTCTTTTCAAAAAAATAAGTCTATAAAAGTTCACTGATAAACCTGATTTTGCCATTGTTTTCTGTTAATCTAATTTTGGCTTAACAGGCGGTTTGGCAAACGCAGCTTTGAAATTTTAAGAAACCCATATTGCGTTCAAGCTTACAACACCCCTCTTTTTTGCGTTTAGGGTTAAAAATGCGAAAAATGCGATAATATTTGCATATTATAACTATTTTAGGACCCACGATTTAGCAAGCATAAACATAGGACAGTATTTTTATTAGAAAACGATAAAATGGGTGATCACAATTTTTATTAAAAGTCCGACAGTAGTACTTCACAAATCTTATAACCATTTGCTATGTGATTAAATGAACAAATCAATTAATCCTTAAGAAATACATACGGACTTTATTTCTTATTTACTGTTTAAACTGCGTAACGAAATCTATACTATAATAAGTAGTTTGTGAGTTTGTTTGTAGGCAGTAATCTCTGGAACTAATGAATCGATTTTAAAAATCCTTTCACCAGTAGAAAGCTACATTATTCCTGAGTGACATAGGCTAAAATTTGATTGTGATTAATAATATTTTTCAATGTGAAATAACAATGTTTGTCAATCAACTCCGAAAATAAATCCTAAACTCTCAATACTAAGAACCACATACGATAATTTAATCACAAGTTAAAATGTTTGACGCCCAGCAAAGTAGGCACGGGTCACCTAGTATTTATGTATGGAGCAACATAATAAGGGGTAAAAAAAGGATATCTAAATGTAATATTGGTAATAAATTAGTGATGTGCAACTAAACTGCATAGGTATATGGCAACAACTTATTAAATGGCTACTACAAATCGCGGTATATTAGTTGCAAATTACTAAAAGCTTGCATTTATAACATTAATCGTTTACTAACCAGGCATTATTTTACATTCTGGAAACAATTCTTGAAAAACTAATCGAGTTTCCGTTAAAAATTCCTCGACCGTGAGTGGTAGGTCAAGGCCTTCGATAATAGAAGCGGCAAATTCCTCACTTTGTTGACCCATTATTCTACTTTTCAAAGTGAATGTAAATTCTTTTCCAAAACGTGAAGCTACTTTTTGAAACCCTATTGTATATAAGTCTTCTGTGTCTGAAATTTTGTGAAAGTGTGTAGTACAAAATATCTTGTATAAATCAAATTTACTGTTATAAAAACTCACTTAAAATCAAACCGTCCATATCAAATAAAACATGTGTTACTGGTTTCAAATCCATTTTAATCACAACAACAGAATAAAAAAAAATTACATAGCACAATCACGTTAAGATTATTTTCAGTCTCTTCTAAACTTTATAGCTTAAACAGAACTAGGTATTACGAAATGTTACATCACACTCACAGTTCGGTCCGTTATCTAATCTATCGTTTTACGTCACTTTCAAAGTACGAGTTGTGTATCGCTAGCAACGTAATGAAACAACGGGAATTTGCATTTGGAAAAATCCAAAATTAGGGGATTTTTAGGTGTTAATTAGGTGCCAAGTTTAAAAATTAGGTGCTCTAAAATTTTCACCGCAACGAACTGTTGAAATTTGCGTTGCTAGCAAAACGTCTCGCTAGCAATGCAATGAAGTTATTAGATATACAATAAATATTAATAGCAAGGAATTAAGTGCTAATTAGGTGCTGCAAGTATACGCAATAACAAGGCGCCCCTAATAAAAATAAAGTCGCTATTCAGAACAAAGCAGATGCAAAATTTAGATTTCCTGAAAATCAAAATAGAATCAAAATTGCTTTCAGAAAAAGTCTAAATAAGGGGCTTTTTAAGTGCTAGTTAAGTACCAAGAAATTAGGTGCTCTAAAATTTTCACCGTAACAAACTGTTGAAATTTGCGTTGCTAGCAAAACGTCTCGCTAGCAATGCAATGAAGTTATTAGATATACGGATAAATATTAATAGTAAGGAATTAAGTACTAATTAGGTGCTGCAAGTATACGCAATAGCAAGGCGCCTCTAATAAAAATAAAGTCGTTATTCAGAACAAAGCAGATGCAAAATTTAGATTTCCTGAAAATCAAAATAGAATCAAAATTGCTTTCAGAAAAAGTCTAAATAAGGGGCTTTTTAGGTGCTAGTTAAATATCAAGTTTAAAAATTAGGTGCTCTAAAATTTTCACCGTAACAAACTGTTGAAATTTGCGTTGCTAGCAACGCAATGAAGTTATTAGATATACAATAAATATTAATAGCAAGGAATTAAGTGCTAATTAGGTGCTGCAATTATAGGCAATGACAAAGCGCCCCAGATAAAAATAAAGTCTGAAGGCAATTTTGATTCTATTTTGATTTTCAGGAAATCTGAATTTTGCATCTGCTATGTTCTGAATAACGACTTTATTTTTATTAGGAGCGCCTTGTTGTTGCGTATACTTGCAGCACCTAATTAGCACTCAATTCCTTGCTATCAATATTTATCGTATACCTACACCTAATTTTTAAACTTAGCACCTAAAAAGCCCCTAATTTTGGATTTTTCCAAATGCAAATTCCCGATTTTGCGTTGCTAGCGATAGACAACTCAAAGTACGATAAGTAGGTACGTGTACTTGTTTAAATGGAATGGAAGGTCAAAATAAATTAAAAAGCAATTTCAATAATAAATATTTTACTAAAATTAACAATTTTTAATACTTTTGAGGACAATGATGGAACATTGCGATAGAATATATTATCTTAAACTTATTGCAATGTCATCACTCATCTATAAACCTATAATGGTACAGCACATGCTTTATTAAACAATATTAATATTTTACTGTTTCTTTAAGTCCCACTGGGTTTCTTGCTGGTTCTTCCTAGACCTATTTTCCGTAAGAGTACCCAGTAAATTACTAGTGACCGACCGAAGATTCGGTTTCGGTTTCGGCAAAAAAATCGGTAATAGTTTCGGTTCCTGCAAAAAAACTGCCGAACTTTCGGCGGCGCCGAAACTCAGTGTTCGTGGATTACAGTGCTTCGTTCGGATGAGTTCGTGACTCGTGTATTATTCATAATTATACAGAAACAGAAACTTTTTTATTCAATATAGATTATAAATAATACTTATTGAAACTACTAGTCTTTTGTTTAATTGCCACTGGTTCGAAAAAAAAACCTCTGTCCTTGGACGAGCCAGCAAGAAACTCAGCGGGGCTTTTTAAATAACAGCTTACAATCAGAGGCGTAGCGTCGACTAATATAAACTTTGAGAAGTTGAATCAGCGAGGCCCCATTTCTTTCGTTCCAAGGATCTACCCAATAGATCTATCCTACCAAACATGGTTTTACACGACATACCTCCTCATATCTATTAATTCCTGACAAGTCTCGTATTCCGTCAATGTAACAGTCGCGGTCTTTGAAGGTAGTTACAACGGCCTCGTAGTCGCACATAAGAGGGGCTTCCTGCAAGGCCCTAAACGTGAGTTTTCTTTCGAACGTAAAAGTGATCAAATTAATTAGTCACCTGTGGTAAAGTCTGGGGGCATCGAATTTTAGGGGACCTCGCGAGGCCCCTTTAAGTGCGAGGCCGTGGGCGGGGGGGTTCACCCACGCCTAGCTACGCCACTGCTTACAATCATGTATGCAACACAATTAACAACACAAAACAAATTAGAAATAGCTTAGCAACTTCGCTGCCGAGCCCGCGCTGGCGCGGGATGCGGGGTATTGCGCGAGGGGCCGACCACGCGTTGGCGCGGGCTAGGCTCAGTACAGATTCTATGAGTCAATGTGCCGCCGGCACTGCGTTTGGCGTGTTGTGTTTACGTTGGCACTGCGCGTGAATTTTTTACGATTCATTCAAAGTTAACGGTTTTTAAATCGAGCCACGTGTTTTTATTTTACAAGTGATTAAAATGGCGGAAGAGGCAGGCCCTTCGCGGCCTAAAAGAAATCGGTTTTCTACAAGCTATTTACGTGATTCAGACGTTGAAGATGAATTATTTGCCGATCTTGAATCGAGCGACGAATTTGACCCTGGAAGTGAGGAAGAGGACCAATCTTCAGAGGATGGCAACGACGAGCAGCTGCAATTTTCCCGCCTATCTGCCATAAATATAGAATCAAATTTACCGATCAGAAGGCCACATTCCGCCCCACCACATTCGACGCCCGATACTTCAGAAGACCAACTCAATTTATCCCAAGAAGATATGTATTCGATCAGACCATCAGTTGAAGGCTCTATATCAGAGTGGACTGAGGTAGGCGAAATGAAAAACTTTACTTTTACGCGACTCAACGAATTTTACGCTAATCCTGGGATAAGACCTATTGATTATTTCGACTATTTCTTTAGTGAAAATTTTCTTAAAATGATTTGTGATGAAACTAATAAACAAGCGGTCAAATTATCAGCTGGAGTGTAACAAAAATCTAGAATATCGGCATGGAAGGAACTAACTGTTTCCGAGTTTAAAGTTTTTTTGGGTCTACTCTTTCATATGGGCACTATTCAGCTTAGTCGTCTTCAGGATTACTGGAAAACAGGCAGGTTATTTACCATACCAATTTTCGCTGAACAAATGGGTCGGAATAGATTTCTACTGATTATGAGATGTCTCCATTTCACGTCTGAAGCAGATAATGGCGACCCAGTGCTAAAAGTTCGCAGTGTCGTCGACTATTTCAATACGAAAATGAACGAATGTTATTACCCCGCGAAAGAATTATCTTTAGATGAGAGCATGATATTATGGAGAGGTCGACTAAAGTTCCGCCAATTTATAAAAAATAAACGTCACAAATATGGGATCAAATTATATATGCTCACTGAACCTGACGGTTTGGTTTTGAAATTCCGTGTGTACGCAGGCGGTCTTGACCACGAAGTTTCGGGTAAAGGTCACGCCGAGAAAGTAGTGATGCAGCTCATGAATGAAAAGCTTCATAATGGCCATGCACTATACATGGATAATTTCTATAACAGTTTGGGTTTAGCGAAAAAACTTCTCGATAATAATACGTACTGCACTGGAACATTACGCATTAATCTGAAACAAAATCCTCAAGAGGTCGTTCAAAAGAATCTGAAGAAAGGAGAAAACATTTCTAGGTACTGCCAAGGAGTTCACATAGGAAAATGGAAGGATAAACGACCTGTTACCTACATTACTACAGAGTTTGAAGATAAAATGCTTCCAATAACTAATAAACGTGGACAAGTCGCTCAAAAACCCGAGGCAATAGCAAAATATAATGATTATATGTCTGGAGTCGACCGGCAAGATCAGTTGTTAGCATTTTATCCTTGTGAAAGGAAAACTTTGCGGTGGTACCTAAAGGTTGCTATTCACACATTCCAGCTGCTACTGATAAATTCATTCAAAATATATAATAAGTACTCAGGTCAACCTAAAATGACCTTATATGATTACCGCTTATCAGTGATAAGCGCATTGCTACCAGATAAACATTTCAAAACAAATCCAGGACCTGTAAAAAGACAAGTTCCTATGCCGCACAAAGTCAGTAAGATTACGGAAAGAAATGCAAAAGGAAAATTGAAACGTAAGCAGTGCCGCCAATGCACAAAAGGAAAAAAACGTACAGACACTATTTGGCATTGCATTACTTGCATCGAAAAACCTGGATTATGTGTCGAATGTTTTGAAGTATATCATTCTTCAATTTGAAAAATTGATAATTTGATATCGGTTGATTATATTTGATTTTATGCTAAAAATTGTATTTCAAGCAAAAATTGTTTATTATTATAGTAGTTTATCTTAATATTGTTACTTATAATTCTTGTGTCATTTTAGTTCCTTATAACTCATTATTGTATTGTGTATGTTCTATTAATACTAAATACTTAACCACGCTCTGGCGCGGGCTTGGCACTACGTATGGATTTTCCAACCGCAGTGCCGGGCCCGCGCTGGTGCGGGATTTCTTTTTATTGTTTTATAAACGAAAATAATAATTACATGTTTTTAATTTTTTTTAAACCTTTTAACTGATGTCTAAGAAGCTAAATAAAAACAAAAAGATTGGTCGGCATTTGGCACTCGACCCTTACAATTTGGCTGGCAGCGAAACTGTTAGTGATCACCTCATTCCCAGGGGTTATTATCATCCATAAATTCCTTAATTTTATAATAACCCTTTTTATACAAACTTAGTTTATTAAAGTTTTTGTACTTTGAGCAGGTTTTGTAAATTTTCTGGGATTTTATTAAGTTGTGTGTAAGTGTGTGAGTGTGATATATTAAGTTAATGCTCTCATTGAATAATATTAACAATATTGTGAACACAATAAAATATGTTCTCGATTAGCGAGTAACTTTTTATGGGTTTTGTTGGTTGAAATTGACTTAAAAAAGTATTTCTTAACGTTAAATTGTTGAATTTTTACTTTAAAATAAATAAATATATTGCTACATGACTTACAATTACTGATTTTCATTAACATGCATTACCTATATGTATAAAAAAAAAAACAAATTTCAGTATACAACAAAAGGTTCGTTTTCGGTTTCGGTTGAAAATCCTGTTTCGGTCGGACACTATAAATTACTTTTAATAAATATTATGGCTCAGGACCGTGCTTTGTGGCATTCTTTGGGGGAGGCCTATGTTCAGCAGTGGACTTGTGAAGGGCTGTAATGATGATGATGATGATGAAATATTATTACGTAGTACTATTATTTATTGTGATATTATGTACTAGCGATCCGCCCGGGCTTCGCACGGGTGCGATCTCGACAACAGCACCACCTGCCGGGTTCAATTGTCCAAACACACAAAAAAATTCATCAAAATCGGTCCAGTATTTTCAATTTTTTGCGAGACTAACGGACAGCAATTGTTTTTTATATATTTTGGGATTTATAATCAAATTTGAATGAAAATTCTATTTTTATTTCTAATAAGAAGATATCTGGGTGACATGAATAATAGGTTTTTTTAACAGATTCATTTCTGTCGCGCTGTGGTTGAACGATAGTTAGACAACCCAGTGAAACAACTGCAACTCGTAAAATCGGCGATTTAATTCTTAGTTACAATAAAAATACATGTTGTACACTAGGCTTGGAAAATATTATCGATATATCGATATTTTTTGATATAAATATCGATATATATAGTCGATATTTCAAATCGCAATATATCGATATTTATTTTAGAGTATAGAATTCGTATCAATTTCGATATGTTCGATGATGTTGTATTAATGACAAACACGTAACAACAAAAGGAGGTTCATGTGTGGTTGGTTGTCGTTTTTTTTTCGTCGTCCAACCGTCAGTAATATATAAAATTTTGAACCTTATCTTTACATCATGCAAATAATGCCGATATATCGATATTTATTATGCGATATATATCGATACTGTTTAAAAATATCGATTCGATGTATTTTTCCCTTGCCCATTCCTATTATACACTACCTATTAGTCACGACTTCAGAAGCTATTACGCTGAAATTATTTTGTTATTTTTAGCCGGTTATTTAAGTTTATTTTAAGTATTTTAGTTTTTAAAATAATCAATTTATTTAAAAAAAATTGGCTAGTGTCATTACTCGGCACTCGTTTATTTCTCTCGTTAGACAGTACCTTGTATATTTCTTGGTCTGCTAAACGCCGGTGGAATCCTCTTAAATACGAACGTTAATCACATTAAAATGTAATACTCACCAATCACAAACCAATTTTTTTATAATACTATCTTACTCTTATGTTACACTATTTTACTGTTTGAATGTTTGAATTTTAATGTTTGAATTTAAAATTACAACAAATTTACTGTACAAAACAAAACAATGTAAAAGTTTTACAAACCTTTTAAATTTATTTCTACAAATATGGTCATATCATATGGTAATATCACCAAAAATAATTTAAAAAAAAACTAATTGCCATCAAATGGAGGTAATCCAAAAAGCTGTGGTTGAAATTCCTCTAAACTTGAAATTACTAAAGTAGCCTCGGTGGTTAGACTTTTATCCATTTGAGGATCAGGTACCATAACAACCTGCATACCTGCAGCTCTTGCAGCTTTCACTCCATTAATGGCATCTTCAAACACTAAGCACTGAAATAAGATGATAAGATACTTTATTTTAATAGGAAATATACATAGTAGAGCCGTGCTGAATATTATGATTTTAGCATGAATAAGTTGGCTCGACTGAGGAAAGACTACTCTTCCAAAGAATACCAGAACTTTATGCAACTGTGTTTCGTATGCTGAGTCTCTGCACTCGGCATACGAAACACAGTTAACCGGAGACCATTTTTATTGGCAACAAGATAATATATTAATGTTAGTCCTCAGGGGTGACAAGCATTTTGAATTATTAGAGATAGATGTAGATGTCTGTGGGCCATGGCATCCATTCACAATAAGGTACAACCATAAACAACTGAAAATGTAGTTTGTAAATAATCGAGCCTACAAATATCCCACAACATTGCAATATATCACAGCAGTTGCCTCCAAATTACATTACTTTGGGTATAGTACGACTAAATGTAAAATTTGTGTAGCTACTTAGAACTCATTCAATTCAAATATACTGGATGCAGATGTGCCGGACGGGCGAAACTCGGGCGTAAATGTTGTCGAAGATACTCCGCGAGTCGCTCACGTCATACACGTCACGTGCCGTCTTTGTGGGTGCGGCTGGGGTACTGTGGATAGACGTCCAATCAAAATGTACGAATTGTAGAATAAAAACGGTAAAGCAGTGACTAGCGGTTCGACTGCTCAACTGTTCGGCGGAAATGTTCTAACTATTGATTTTCAACCACGGTTGTTGAATACGGTTGGTCAACTACAGTTGTTCTCTATATTCTTCAGTTGATTATTTCTTCAAGATGTTCGGTAGTTACTTACTACTACTAGTACTATCTGCTTCTATTATCACTGGTTACTAGCTGCTACTATTAGTTACTACTATTTTCAGCTCCTACAATGTTATCTATTGGTGTTCTTCTCCTGTTGGTCCCCCTTCTGGGGACAGGAGGTTTTATAGGTCTTGAGGTGTCCCTCTCTACCTGGGTATCATCGCGGGGGGCAACGGCTCCCCCGGTCCTAGGTGCTGCTGCGCAGCTTGTACGTTGATGTGTTGCGCACTACACGCCATCAGATCGGGCGTCGGGACTCTCACTCGTCCCCGGTGTCCCAGTCGCCGGGCGGTGAGCGTCGAAGTTCACGTGGGACTACAATGTTACCGGACCCCGATGCGCTAGGTTAGACCGGAGCTTTACTTTAAAGTGAGCCGCTTGCCATTGCCTGTTTTGCCTCCTTATTGTTTAATATTTTCTACTATACAATTATCATAATTTAATTTTTTTATATATATGATTAATTCTTAAGCTAATGTTACTATACATGATTAAATGGGTAATTTAGTTGTCTATTAGAACATCATTAAGGTTTCTTAATATATTAACAATGCAAAAAGTTATTAACAAAAATATTCAAGATTTCACAATATTTGGATATATTGATTCTTTAATTTTACTATAGGTGGGAAATAATTTACATCACGCTAAATATTCTTTTATTTCCTTAATCTATAAACCTTAATCTAATTAAATAAATCAGTAACGACGTGGATTGTTTTGAATGGACTGGAATATGATAATTTTATTTAATATGATTAATTTTATTTATTTTACAAATTTGTTAATTTTTTTAACTGTCTATTTCAACAGATATAAATATACAGTGGTGGTCTGGTGGTCAAATAATTAGAAACACTTCTTATGAATAAAGAAAGTATATAACTTCAACGTAAAAATGTTTGTAAAAAATATACACATTCCATAATTAATAATCATGCAATAATAAAAAACTCAAATAAAAAACTCACACTACAAAATGAGTCTTTAAACATGTAGGAGTTTATTTTCTGTTACTGGCCGCTTCGACGCCTAATAAGAAACATTTTAAAAGAGCATCCATAGCTCGTTCTTTTTTTGAAATTGGAGAATAACATTTCTTACTTGGCTTCTATTATTTTGGCGGCAATTCAAAATTTAATCTGAATTTTATTTTGTTCTAAATGGGCAAAAATAAAAGTTGTGACGCGTCAACTAGGCAAATAATTGTTGTTAATTTACATATAGATCATAAGTGGGCGTTCAGAAGAATAACTGAGCATTTAAATTGTTCTGTTAAGAAAGTTTTTAATGCAATTGATCATTATAAAACACGTGGAACTGTTGAAAATGCTTAGAAAGGCTTGGCCAAGAAAATCCTCTCCCAGAGAAGATACGCTAATCGTTCGTGTTGCTAAAAAAGCCCAAGTAAAGGCTCCAACCAGATTAAATATGAAGGTTTTTTGCCTGATGACCCGCGAAACATCCCGTCAAGACTACGCCGAAGGTTAGTGGAAGCTAAATTGTTTGGAAGAATCTCTCGAAAGGTACCGCTTCTTACCAAGCAACACCGAGAGAAGCGATTATTATTCGCTAAAAAATATGTTAATTGGACGGTACGAGAATGGAAAAAAATGTTATTTTCAGAAGAAACAAAAATATATATGGTAAATTCCGATGGAAAGTGCTATGTTAGACGTCCTGTAAACATTGCTTTTAATTATATTGTTACGCGCCACTATTAATGTCTTGTACATGGCAACACTAGTTACACTAGCGCCCTCTAGTGTCGAGTAAAAGAAAGTATTGCGCGCCACTATTAATGTCTTGTACATGGCAACACTAGTTACACTAGCGCCCTCTAGTGTCGAGTAGCGGAACTAGGAGAGTCGAGATCCTTCCAGAAATTTCGGGACCGATATGTACTCGAACATTCTAGATGTCGCTACAGTGGAAGGTTCTGGAAACTGTCTGAGGCCCTATATAAGACCGGTATAGACCACGACCGAGGCAGTATTGAATTGGCGATACAAGAGAATACTTCGAAGCGAAATAACGGCGAACTGTGTTTTATTATTAGTGTGATTTTAGATTGTAATTAGTGTTGTGTGATTAAAGTGTCAATTTTGGTAATTCAATCGGCAGTTTTTAATTGTCTCGAACCCCAAGCTCGTAACAATTGGTGTCAGAAGTGGGATCAAATATGCCGATTTTACCTAAAGACGACACGGAGGGTATCCGTACCCGAAGTCAACGCCAACAGGAGACGGACCAGAGACGAATTGGTAATGCAACGCCGCAAACGTCTGAGGGGCAGCTGCTAACCACGGAGGCCGGCCCGTCAGCAGCTCCTGCATCTGCAGCACCTGACTTAGGTGCTCTGATGATGATGCTGCAGGATCAGGCTCGCCGACAGGAGGAACAGGCCCGCCGACAAGAGGAACAGACCCGTCGGTTGGAAGAGCAGCTGCAGCGCGGTATGGAAGAACAGATGCTCCTCAGGAAGGACCTTCACGCTACCTTCGGGAAAGAGATAAGGGAGGTGAAGGAGAGGGTTGCTCAACATGACAACCGCCTGTCGGAAGCTGAAACCCGAATCGACCAAGTGAATAATCGGGTTGACAACGTGATGGCTGATGTGAAGAAAACGCTGGACAACCTCAAACTTGGGGATGGAATTACAGTTCCCGTGGTAGCTACAACACCTTCGCTACGTGGATTCAAAGTGCCGCCGTTCGATGGGAGTTCTTCCTGGTCGGCCTATAAAATCCAGTTCGAGGCTGTCATGAAAGCGAACGGCTGGAATAAAAGTCAGGCCATGTCTGCTCTCACCCTAGGCCTGCGCGACCAGGCATTAACTGTTCTGGAAGCTCTCGGTAAGGAAGTGACTTACGAGCAGCTCCTTGAGGCATTGGAGGCGAGATATGGCGACGCTCACCTGGAACACGTCTTTCGTGCGCAGCTCAAAGATCGCGTGCAACGCAGTAACGAAAACCTGCAGCAGTGGGCCCTTGAGGTGGAGAAGCTGGTTCGAAAAGCGTACCAGTCTGTACCTGCGCTTATTGTAGGGAACTTGGTGCAGACATTCATCGACGGCATCCGCGACCTTGAAGTCAGAGCTGCTGTGAGGCTCGGGCACCACGAGACGCTTAAGGACGCCTTGACCCATGCACTGGAGGTGGAAGCCGTGCGGCAGGATCATCGTTCCCACCGCGTCAGGGAGGTTGCAGCAGCTAAAGTTCAGGACCGCAATAAAAGCTACCGCCCTAGGTGCTACGGCTGTGGGCAAAGGGGCCATCTTCGATCCAGCTGCCCTAAGCGAACTGTAGCAAGGGAAGGTGATCGATTTCGAGAAGGTAGTGCGGCTAACAGCAACGCCCAGCGCAGCGGGAAATCTCGTGGCAACGCAGATGTATTGTCAAGAAGACTTTGTCTTGAAGATTGCAAGCGTTGTACTAGGCAAGAGGGTAAGGAAGTGGTATCTGTGAGGATACTCAGGACAGACCAGCTCAGCAATGAGTGGAAGTACAGCCTACAACAAGCACAGCAGGAAGATTCGGACATTAAGCCGATTCTGGAATGGATGAAGGCCAGTTCTCCCAAGCCCAAGTGGAGCGACGTCTCAGCAATGAGTTCGACCACGAAAAGCTATTGGGCCCAATGGGACAGCTTGCTGATTCAGGATGGAGTCCTGTGCCGTAAATGGGAAAGTGGTCGGGGAGACAGGTGTCATTTGCAAATGGTTGTCCCTAAGGCTAAAGTGCCGGATGTTCTACAGCTGTACCATAGTGGTTGTTCAGGAGGCCACCTGGGAGTTAAACGAACTCTCCTGAAGATCCGAGAACGGTTTTACTGGGTCCACTGTCGTGACGATGTCGAGGACTGGTGCCGCAAATGTACAAGTTGTGCGGCTGTAAAGGGACCTCAAATTCGTAGTAGAGGCGCATTGAAATTGTACAATGTTGGTGCACCATGGGAGAGGATAGCCATTGACGTTGCGGGGCCGTTTCCGGAAAGTGAAAGTGGTAACAAGTATTTCATGGTTGTGATGGATTACTTCACTAAGTGGCCAGAAGTCTTCGCCATTCCAAATCAAGAAGCTTCAACAATTGCAGACAAACTAGTTCATGAAGTCTTCTGTCGTTTTGGAGTACCTTTAGAGATTCACAGCGATCAAGGAAGGAATTTTGAGTCTCAAATATTCCAGGAAACTTGCCGAGTTATGGGTACTCAGAAAACACGAACAACTTCTTACCACCCACAATCTGATGGAATGGTAGAAAGATTTAATCAGACATTGGAGAGGTACCTAGCAAAAGTTGTGGAAAAACGGCAACGAGACTGGGACAGGCACATACAACCGTTTTTGTTGTCATATCGAAGCGCTGTTCACGAAAGTACATCAGTGACACCAGCTTTCGTAAACTTTGGGAGAGAATTGCGGCTGCCTGCAGACCTGATCACCGGAATACCACCTGATGCCCCACGCAGTATAACCGATTATGCAAATGACTTGCGGAACAAAATGAATGACATTTATGAGCACGTCAGACAGACGGGCCAGCAAACGTCTGAGAAGATGAAAACACGGTATGACCGCAAAATGAACAACAAGGGGTTTGATGAAGGTTCACTAGTGTGGTTACACAATCCAGTTCGCAGCAAAGGGCAATCTCCTAAGCTTCAAGCTAAATGGGACGGACCGTACCGGATTGTGACAAGGATCAATGACGTAACCTACCGGATACAGAAAGGTGTCAGAGGTACTCCTAAGATTGTCCATGTGGATCGACTGGCGCGTTATTATGGGGCCAATAATGCTCGGGACGAGCATGTCTTAGGAGGGGGCAGTGTTACGCGCCACTATTAATGTCTTGTACATGGCAACACTAGTTACACTAGCGCCCTCTAGTGTCGAGTAAAAGAAAGTATTGCGCGCCACTATTAATGTCTTGTACATGGCAACACTAGTTACACTAGCGCCCTCTAGTGTCGAGTAGCGGAACTAGGAGAGTCGAGATCCTTCCAGAAATTTCGGGACCGATATGTACTCGAACATTCTAGATGTCGCTACAGTGGAAGGTTCTGGAAACTGTCTGAGGCCCTATATAAGACCGGTATAGACCACGACCGAGGCAGTATTGAATTGGCGATACAAGAGAATACTTCGAAGCGAAATAACGGCGAACTGTGTTTTATTATTAGTGTGATTTTAGATTGTAATTAGTGTTGTGTGATTAAAGTGTCAATTTTGGTAATTCAATCGGCAGTTTTTAATTGTCTCGAACCCCAAGCTCGTAACAATATATACACAAGGAGTATATTCAAGCACGGTGGCTGTAACATTAAAGTGTGGGGGTGTTTTTCCGGATGTTGAGTTGGACCAGTTCGGAAGATTGAAGGTACAATGAATCAATGGCAATACAAAAATATCTTAGAGCGCACAATGATTCCCTACTCGCACGATCATTTGCCTGTAACCTGGATCTTTCAGCATGACAATGACCCTAAACACACGGCCAATAGCGTCAAATGTTTCCTTAGCGAACAGCGTATATCCGTTATGGACTGGCCAGCAAATAGTACGAATTTAAACCCGATAGAAAATTTCTATTATATTGTTAAAAAGAAAGTCTCAAACAAACGTAACACCAGTTAAAACGAACTATATGAAGCATTTGTTGTAGCATGGAATTCAATCCCCCTAGAAAAATGTATGAAATTGATTGAATCAATGCTGTTATTGAAAATAAGGGATAAGCCACTAAATATTAATTATAACTATTGGTAGGCTGTGGATAGTAGCGATTTCGTAAATAACAATACTAATTACTAATACTTAAAAAAATATTGTTTTTTATACATTTTTGTTGTTGTTTCTAATTAGTTGACCATTATTGTTCATACCTTAAAATTGATTTAAATGTTTGTCCGTAATGTAATATTGAAACTGCGCTTGTATATTTGGATTTATATTGTTTTTCTAATAAATGATAAATCGTTGAACATATTGTTTAGTTTCTATTTATTGTTTAATTTCAAAATAAAAACGATTGCGGTGAAGTATCTTACATAATGTCAAGGACCATTGGTAGTGTTTCTAATTAGACGATCACCACTATATATTAACCATCTTTATTATACAGTATATTATCTATGGTCCGGAGTGATAAAGTAAAATAACACAAAAAATAACAAATTCGGCACATCTCCTCGTCGAGGAGTTCCAGTAGCAGTCATCAAAGTACACTTTCAAGTCGGGAGGTAAGGTCTATTCATAACTAATAAATCGAGCCCAAACTCGGGACATCTAGTTCCCTTCGTCGATGAGTTCTAGTGGCAATCTTCAAAGTATACTTTCAAGTCACGCTATCAAAACCAGAGGTAAGGTCTCATCATAAAATTCATTTTGGGAATGAGCTGGATTATCGGGAGTTTTCCGTATTAAGAACAAGAGCAAAACGAGTTGAACATGATCTTTACATCCAATGTACAACTCATGTTCAAATTCAAATTAAAGTTTGTCCCAAAAAAATGTGGCAATACGTAAAATCTAAAAGAGGTAAATCTAACTATCCTAAAATGCTAACCTATGGTTCGGATGTTTATAATAATGTAACAGAAATATGCAACGGATTTAATAAGTTCTTTGAAAGTGGGTTTTCTAAATCCCTGACAAGCATAGATTGATAAATCTATGCTCGTCAATGAGTTCTAGTGGCAGTCTTCAAAGTACACTTTCAAGTCACACTATCAAAACCGGAGGTAAGGTCTCATTATAAAATACGTTTTGGGAATGAGCTGGATTATCGGGAGTTTTCCGTATTAAGAACAAGAGCAAAACGAGTTGAACATGATCTTTACAAATAATATACAACTCATGTTCAAATTCAAATTAAAATTTGTCCCAAAAAATGTGGCAATACGTAAAATCTAAAAGAGGTAAATCTAACTATCCTAAAACGCTAACCTATGGTTCGTATGTTTATAATAATGTAACAGAAATATGCAACAGATTTAATAAGTTCTTTGAAAATGGGTTTTCTAAATCCCTGACAAGCATAGATTTATCAACCTTTAATTTGCCCACAAGTAGTGAGTCTAGTGTTGTTAGTAAAATTAATATAAATGAAAACTACTTACTTAAACTTTTGTCTGAATCTTTTTTTCTACTAAATGGAAAGAGGCCAATATCATACCAATTCATAAAAAAACCGGCCAAGTGCGAGTCGGACTCGCGCACCGAGGGTTCCGAACAAATTCGCAGGTATATAAGTTTAAAATTATTAAAAATATTTTTATTATATGATGTAACTAAAAATTTATGCTTTTCGCAATTTTTCCTTTATCTGTGCTACAATACGTTGCTTCGTACCAAATTTTAAGATTCTGAGTTCACGGGAAGTACCCTGTAGGTTTTGATTCCCTTGCGAATGTCAAAAATTTGAGCCATAAACGGCTGTATCTTTTGACTGAGTTGGCTTAGAAATTTGATTTTTCACAGCTCCCAAGGGACAGTACATTATTTGATATGAATTTCAGCTTGATACCTCCACGCGTTCCTGAGAAAAAGGGTCTTGACAGACAGACAGACAGAAGGATAAGAAAGTGATCCTATAAGGGTTCCGTTTTTTTCCTTTTGAGGTACGGAACCCCAAAAATCATCTAAATCCAGAATCGAAAATTATAGGCCAATTCCCATTTTAAATACTTTCAGTAAAATATTTCAAAAAATCGTTTATGAAAAATCTGTAGCACAATAGCGAAAGGCATAAGTCACGCCCAGTACGATTTCTTGATTCGGCGCTTGTCTTGTGTGAACAATGTGACACGTAATTTTTATATATAAAGATAAACTTATAATGTAGATATTGATAATTAATACATACCTGCTCAGGTTTAGGCCTGTCTGGAAATTTAGATGCTGCCACTAAAAATATATCAGGATGAGGCTTTCCTCTCTTTACATCTGGATCAGAAGAGCCAAAAGTTTTGTGTGGAAACAAAGAGAATAGGGATGCATGATGCTTATCTACTTTCAAATGGTAGCTTTCTTCACTAGAACTGGTGGCTAATCCAATTGGAATTTTATGTTTATGGAAGTGTTCTATTAACCTCTTAGCACCTAAAAAGACAAGAATCATCACTAGGTAATATAATTCTTATGAGAAATGTTCACATTTTGTATACATTGGAACTCCAGCGTTAGTCAGCATAAAATTGGAAGCGCAGCCTTCTACAACAACATGGATTAGAGCTTTTGAGTAAACAAAAAGTCCTTTACTCAGCCGACCTAACTCAGATCTTGTCAAGGCCTTTTAGATGTCAAGGGAATGGCAATTGCATCCATTTTTTAACACTTTATATTAATTATTCAGTTTTCATCCACTTCCAGTTGCCTGAGTAATCTTAGGAATTCTATATTAGGAACCTATGAAAATAAAGTAATTTAAATACTATGACCATGTATTCTTACTAGGACCATCACTGGTCAGAGATAAGAGAATCAGAAATAAAGAGACGGATGACGGGTGAAATCTTCCAGGCCAATAAAAAAGGAAGGAGTTTCTTTTTGAATAAATGGTGGTTTTGTCAGAAGATACCACTCTTCCATAGACAATAAAACTAAATATCTATATAATGCGTGTGTCTATGTGTGCATATGTGTATGCACATCTGTACATGTGTGCATCTGTGTGTGCGTGCGTGGTTAAGTCCATGTGTGTGTGAATTTATAGGTGCTTGCGATGCAAATTTATAAGTTACATTCATTACAGAAAATATTTTATAATTAGACTCATGTTTAAGCTGTTTGAATAAAAAAAGGTCAAGTCGAAAGAGCAAAGGCTGAACCTACACATTTCTAAAGTTGCAAGCAGTCTGCTGGCATGAAATACTATCTCGCTCTGCTAAGCGTGCCAAGCTTATTAAAGGCCAATTTAGCCTCACATTCAGCCATTCCAAAGATTAGCCTGGACAGAAAGACAGATGGACAAAAATTAAAAAAAAAAGGTTATTTCAATATTATAGACAGACACTTCAATTTTTTTCACAATGCCAGGAGGGATTTGGGCTATATTTTATCTGAAAAACTTGGAAGGTTTTTTTTTTTGAAAAACCAAGGATTGATAAAATAAATGGTCTTTGATTAGGTATCTTAAATCTATATAATGCCACATTAATTTATCCTATTCAGGCGAAGGCGGGATGGGTTGCTAGTTTATTATTAGCTATGTTCAAATGCTTTTTACACATGCCTTGAATCAATTATTACTCCATCATTTTCATTTACCTGGTGTGTAGTTTGAAGTAATAATAATTAATTAAATAAGTGACTACGTGGTTGTCGATGTTTGATAAACATTGGTAAAATATATTTAAAAAATTACCTGGCATTAAATCTGTATCAGGAAACAATATTTGGAACTGTTCCTTAGTTTCAGTAATAAACTCTTCAACTGTCATTGGCAAATTGAGGGCTTCAATTAGAGTTTGTGCAGCCTCATGCGCTTGAGTACCCATAAGCTTTAATTTCAATTCAAAAGTATATTCTTTTCCAAACCGTGATACTACATTCTGAAACGCTATTGTGTACAACTTCTCAGTATCTGAAAACAAAAAGATTTAACATTTCCGATAAAAATCATAAGATTTTTTAAATGGAATTTTTAATAGATTAAGCTGTGGTACTGTGGATGCCCATAGACACCTTCATCTATCTTCGATTATAAATCAAAATATAGATGTGTTGTCAACCCTGAGCACTAAGATAGAACATTGTTCTCCACACTCATCACACGTGTTTCGCGCAGCATCAAGCTACAATTTTACGCTGGTATTCTGCAAGGTCGTGGCCTTTAACCGGTCGTGCCAACCCATTCGTACTGCAACCATAATATAGTGGCAGCATGTCTTCACCATATGATACCAAATTATATATACAAACTTTAATTTTATTGGATTTTATAATACTTACTAAGTATAAGCCCATCCATATCAAAGAGTACATGAGTTACAGGTTTAAATTCCATATTCTTTAATTGGCAATAATTTATAAAAAGCCGACAAAAGGAAAACAAAAATTCTAACACACTGTAATAACAACACTGATAATATGCTGTATCTCACAAAACATCTAAAAATAACACAAATAGTAAATAAAATTTAAAAGGAAAATTACTTTAATTGATTGAAAATTACTATATTTCGTATGAAATTAAATAGTATGAAACGGGATGAAACTATCAGTGTTTCTAGTTTGTGGGTTTGTGGAAACTATGAAAATATTACTCTATCTACTCTATGCTGTCAGTACTGACAGTTGATAGAGATAGGCGGTAGGCCATAGAGATAAGATAGGCCATGACCTTTGAGCATAGAAAATAGAGGAGATGGCAAGCCTACAAAAAAATCGTGTCACATTGAAGCAATAAATGGCGGACGCTGTAAGCTCCTTGGGTCCTTGGCCTTTGGGCATAGAAAATTCTATGCCCAACATAGACATAGTATCTTATAGACTAAACATTCAGTGACGTCATCACCGTGTGAAAGGAATGCACGTATATAGTTAGACATAAGAGTAAGGGAGAAGCAAATCTATATTTCTTGTCTTTTTCTAGGTATGCGTTTTTGATTGTTTTTCCTCCTTTATTTGACATTAACGATGTCAAGCTCTTTTGAATAATATTGATATTATAAGCAAACAGGTAATTGAATTTAGAGTTTTTTGTGGGTCTTAGTTATTAGGTAAGGTGAAAAAGATGATAAGTTGTAGCATTTTAGGATGCAACAGCATCAGTCAACGAAAAATTGATAATATTACCTTTCATCGGTAAGTTTGTTTTGTGCTTACATTTGCTACTTGTACTTGTTAATATCTATTGTTTTTAATATAAAGTGTAACATTTCATGTGTTAAATGAACTTTGTGATGTATTTTGTCAAATATTTGGACTCCCAAATTGTAAATTCTTCATGATAATGCTCCTTAATTTGAACGGTCATTCGAAAGCTTAAAGTCATAACAAACGTGTACTTTTTGATTTGGTAGGATTATAGAAACTTTAGGGATATCAGCGAGTACAATAATGTTTTCGCATTGTTCAATAATAATTGTTATTGTGATTAGTAGTTATGTCCATAAATATGAATCACATAATGTTATACATATACATACACTTTTATGTTCAGCTTTAAAGGAAACTCTTTATTGCCCTACAACTCTTCAATAATTTTCCATATTACATAGATGTCACAAATAATGTAAGTATCAACCTGAAAACATGTTTGGATTCAAGTACATAAACATTGGGCAAAGTATATTTAATTTCACAAAATATGTATTGCCTGAAATCAGATGCACCAAACTTTATTGCATTCCATTAATTCTATTATACATTAGCAACAATTACATTACAATATTTATTAAAAAAATAAATAAATATGTCATACTAATATAAAAATAAATATAAACATAGATAAAATAATAAATAAATAGATAAGTCTTAATCGTAAGGTACACAATAACACAACAACATAAGATAATAATCTCAATTAATGATGTAGAAAAAATTTGATGATAATATACTCACCGTTACCATTAGTCTGTATCAAAAGTCAAAAGTTATAGGTTTTGTGATAGTTGCCTAGCTTGGCAGGAGAATTGGCAACTGCAGTTATTTGGAGACAAACTGTGTGGGAGGTCTATGTTCAGCTGTGGAGGACATAACTATGTTAGGCTGTAAATGTATTAATTAACAATATCTAAAGCTTAATATGTACATAATTTTTTTTAAATGTTTGGTATGAGTAATTGTATCATTACATTTACATATACTTGCTATTTAATTAAATCAATTGATATTGTATTAATTGTTATAGGTATTGTATTTATGCACAGATACCCATACTTGATTTTTTTTTGTTAAATGCCTTGATATAAAAGTGTACTATATATTTTATATATTAATTTCTTTTAAATATATTATTTCATAGCTATTCTAAGGAATCAGCTATCCGTAACTGTTGGATAATCGCTACTGGCAGTAATTATAGGTAACCAACAAAACTTAGCAGTATATGCTCAAAACATTATAAGCCTCATTGTTTTAGGTGGACTAAATATACTTAATGTTATAATTTCTTGTTGTATCTTGTTGTTTCTCCATAAGTGATATAAGTTTGACCTTATTAGTAGTTATGATTTTTGACATTGTTCTGAATGTATTAAAAATTGACTAGCATTGCTTATTTTATTTTCAAATGCTGACATTCTGTATTATTATGAGTTGTAATAATTTGGTTGCATGACAATGACAAAATATTTACTTATCGTTGGATTGATAAAACATGAATCCTCATTTAAAAATGTTGGAACTTTATCTGTACTACCATGTTTTATGCAAATAAAGATTTAAATAAAAGAAATAAATAAATAATTTAAAGTCCTGGCCTAAATATACAAATGAATAATTTATTATGCAATAATAATTGTAAAACTGACTGGGAATGCCTACCAATAGGACATTTAGTTCATCCTTAATCCCTTTTATAAAGGTGTTATAAACAATAATGTGTAAATAAATTGAGAAATAAATGTAATAATTATGATAATTTCTATTTAATTGTCATAAATAATGTAATAAAGATGTTTTTGACAAGAGATAAGTATTACCTATCTAAGTATAGTTTAGGAGTTGTACCTTATTATTTATACCATTAAAATATATACAAAGCATTATATATATATATAATCTGATTCTATATATATATATATAATCTGATTCTAACAACCAGCACCCAAGAATTTCTGCCATGCCAAAGTATAAATCAAGTTTACAAATGCATATTTTTGAGAAATTCTAAAGCTACTCAAACCAGATTATATATATATATATATATAGTTAGAATCAGATTTTTGATCAGAATTTTTTTTTATTTTGTTGTTTATTAATGTGATGAAAAATTAATAAATAATCGTTTATTTATTTTAATTTTATTGAATTATATTTAATATATAATTGTGTTTTCATTTGTTTTACTTAATGTAACATCTATAATATAAAAATGAATAACTGAATGTGTTGCTAAGCGCAAATCTCGAGAGCAGCTGAACCGATTTCGCTAATTCTTTTTTTCTAAAAAAAATTCTAAAAAGTCTAAAAACAACACCATATATTCCCATACAAAAGATTCGTAATAATACTTAAAAGTCAATTTGAACTTTAATACCATACCATAAAGTTTAAGTATTAGTGGAGGGGTACCGAGAAGGTAGTATCGTATAAATATTAATGTCAATATTTGTCAAAATTTATACACTGGCAGATAGCTGATGTTATAAGGAGTAACTTGGGCTGCTTTTATTTTAGAGTTTCGCGAAAAATTACTCCACGCGGGCGAAGTCGCGGGGAACAGCTTGTTGTTAATATTTCTAAATGTTGTGTAAGTACACAAAATTTAGTTTTTTTTCCTTTTTATATTTTTATATATTTTCATTTGAATAGAATATATATCTTTACAGTCTATCAAAAGTCCACTGTTAAACATAAACGTGATTATAGTTATTTGACATAGTTTCAACGCTTGGAAAGCGGGTTGTCAACCACTGTTTTTTTATTTAGCTGTTATCAGGAAAATGCTGCTGTTTATCTTCTTTGATGTTTCCCTATGTCGCCTCATACACCACCCATGGAATGATATGAGGTAGCAGATAATCTTACACTGCATGGTAAATTAAAATAGAATATTATAAAACATTCATTTTTATTTTATATACCAACATATTACAAATACAAACCCTTGTTGATGCTTTACAACGTATATTAACTAAAACATTTTACCACCTTAACCATTAGGTAACATGATTAAGCCACCTAACCATAAGTAAGTACCTACCCACCCACCTAAAAAAGGCCTTCCCTAGATATCCTCATAGGATGACTTTTACCATAGTTGCTACGCCTGCGTGAAAATATGCGTTATGCTGGTTGGCCACCGCAGTTATTTATTATTTTAAGTTTTCATCGGGAAAGTGCTACTGCCTCATCCTCATCTTGTATTATTGCTTACGACGCGGGGTAATATCATTTCTTGTGTGCGGCAAGTTGTGGCGTACAAATTCTCTTGTACGCCACAACTTGCCGCACACAAGACATTAACTTAGCAAAACATGCAGGAAATCGCGAGAGTAGCCTCAACCGTGTTTTGTACTACAAAACCTAAGTGGAAAGCCTTTCCTTTCGGAGGTCTGTGTTCAGCACTGAACTTGTGATGGAATGGTATGTTAAAACATTATTGTTTTTTTTTTGTAAAAACAAAACTCGACAAGAGGAAATTTTTGTTTATTATTTAATATTTTTATTCTTTATTAATATTTAAATACATACATAACATATTGTTATTTATTAGCAATATCACACTTTGTGCTAGTAGCGTATTCACTTAATGCCGTCGAAATCCAGAGTTTATTGAATGTCCAGTAAAATCGTCGATGCGCCGTTGAATACAGAATGATGATTTTGTTTTTACGCCGTTTCCGCCCGTAGTTTTTAGTCACAGAATGTATTTTCAAGAGAAATTAATTAATCATCTGAATTATAAAAGAACATTTTTTTATGGTAACAATTAAGTTTTTTGTATGAATGTAAGTGCTGTGAATATAAATAAACCCATAACGGGGGAAATGGAACAATATCTGGTAACCCAGTGAAAGTACCTCCCGCCTATTTCTATCTCAAAAGCATACGCGAATGCTTTATCTAGTCAATCCTCCATCTACGATGCCCAAAGGCCATGACACCCACTGACACCTGACATTGACGGATAACAGATTAACGTTGACACATACCCCTTGTAGTGGCGAGTAAGAATACAGGTAAGTGTCGCAAGATTGACAGCGAGACGAGATGCAAGAGAGGAGTGGTGTGAGGTGTACAAGTGTCATTGTGTTTTTGGCTATTTCTTATTCTGAGAGCTGTTGATTTACTTTTTTGTTTATTATTTCTATTGGTGTTGGTTTTAGTAGTTATAAA